CTCGATTCTCGAACTTGAGGACGACTCAGAGCTGGTGAAGTCTGCAGTTAAGGAGGTCAAAACAAGCTATTCGAATTTCAAACTGATTTTATCAGAGACTTCATTGCCGCATGAAAAACAGAGAATATTCCCCAATGCTGGAATTGTTCCCGAGAGCTCAGAGGTTCAACTCCTGGCTTAGCTCTGTTTGCATTCTGCCGGTTGCTTTTTTTACCGTAGCGTTTTTATGGTTTTTAAACGAGCACTGTTTTCCCTGGGGTGAATTTCCAGCAAGCGTACTCCTGAAGCTATTTTGATAGAATTGAAGCCCAAGGCAAGACTTTGACAACCCAAGTATGTCACAGTTTGAGGATATTATACGTCGAACAAGTCGAAGCTTCAACATCCCCCCCAGGCATTTGAACTTCGGAGGTTTGCCTCTTTCAAACCCCCCTACCCTCCCTCCTCTCATGCCAAAATTGCGTATAAATGCCCCACCCAATATTGAAAGACTCTGTGTGATCAACAAATATTGTTGACGTTAGCAAAGAAACATGTTAGTTTTTGGTGCTGCTGTTGGATTTTTCGCTTATGAGGATCGTGGTAGATATCACACGAAAGCAGACTCTTTAAAACATTAAAAAGACGCCGAAAAGATTCGACACTTCAGGTTCGAATTACCCACCCCGGCCATGCAAGGTTCAAATTTACCACCGCATAGGTTGCCCAGAGAGGGAATAATAATGCTTCGAATTGATCAGTGTATCACTCTTATTACTTAGTATGAGGAAAAAAACTGATTGGTTGTCTGAAAAATCGGACGGTTTTGTTCTGCTTGCCTGTTATTTTCTAGTTAGACAGTCCGACCAAGTGAATTAAATACTTATGACGAGATAATTTGAACTTAGTAGTAATGGACTAATTGTAGGTCTTCCACTGAACGGACACTACTATTCTAAGATTACTCATCAGCCTTTTAAAACTGATTCAAGCAAGTGTTCAAGGTGTCATACATAGGAGTTAAAAGAAATCACTCATTCTTGAGTTAGAGTCAAGTTAAAGTTACACGCTATTACCCTTTCCTTAAAATAATTAAAGATCACTTTGGACACTGTGGCACCTTCTCTCAAGTTTCTTAAGAAATTAAGAGACATTTTTTTGCCACACGTTTCGAAATTTTTTGAACCCACAAAAGGAAAAAAAAGTCATGATGAACAGAGCAGACATGCCCATGGTCTGATTTCAGTTAAATGAAAGAAATTGCAAGCAACCCTGTTCTACACCAACCATAAGTCAACTAAATTAGTCAATAACAAGAGGATACAAACTTATTATATTCCTGTCAATAAATAGAGTCAAGCAAATGAGAGAATCGCCTCCAAGGAGGCCAAAACCAAACTATAAGACAGCTGAAATTTCTTCTCCAAGCCTCCATCCCTCCTCAAACTAAAACGATCAGCGTAATCCTTAAAATATGTTGATCTCGTAACATCTCTTTTTTAACTACTGTAGCATAGATAAAGTACACGATTGAATCAAAGTGCACTGACCAGTGTAAAATTGATTTAATGCATGATTGTTTGAGTTTAAAACTGATATTAAACCACACAAACTAATCCAGTCAAAACATTTGCACAAGTTTTAAAATAATAAAAATCACTGCAATTTAAAAGAATCATCTGGAAAATGTGATTAAGTATTCAGGGTAGAACTGCCCCTCATAGAAAATAACAAAAATGCTCGGGTCAGTAATCTGATCCACCACACAATCAAAGGATTCTTTGGAATCACTCTGGTTCTTCTGTGGAGGAGTAACCATGCCTTGTTTACCAACCGTGTATTCACCAACCAGGACTCTGCTGAGGTACATGTATTGCTGTCCATCATTGTCTGGTGGAGAGAGAGAGGACTGAGCTGGGTAAAGGGCATCTTTGGCAAAGTACAAGCCATTTCCATACATGTCTGTTGGTGCTGAAAAAGTTGTAAATATTAAACTGGAGCGTTGTTTGAGTTAGCAATCTCAACAACCAATCACAGTAAAGGAAATAGCTCAAGGAACCGATCAGAACTTGAAGTAAAAAAAGCAAGTAAAAAATCCCAGGCGTGGAAACACGACTGATTAAGTTGCGAAGTTTCGTGTGGCACAAATTTTCTAAACCAATCATGGGGCAAGATTTACTAACACCAATACAATCCTGAATATTACCTTTTTAAAAAATAAGTAAAAATTGTTTCATCAAGCTACTGAGTAAATTGACACTGACATACAACAATAACACTCATTTTTTTCTCTTGGTGAATGAAGCAAATGTATTCTAAAACACTTTTTTAACTGAAACCTCAGTTCCAATTGTTATTTTAAAAAATGCTGAGGATTGACTTGTTTCTATATGTGAACACATGCATGACATGCAAATTAACATAGTAAAAAATGGTTCTTTGTACCTTTTTTGTTTTGGAAATGGCAAAAACCAGTCTCATTTATTTGTTGGCATTTGCTTCTTGGGATTCCAAGGAAAAGTCGCTGTTCATTGCTTCCTCTTTCCTCATCCATTTTTTGCTTTCGCATGGTGAATGTCCTGTAAAGGGCTGGATTCTGGACTCGGGCTATTTTCAAGATCATAATTTTGTTTTTGCATGTTTTTCGAAATTGATTCTGAACTTCTTGGTATTCCTGTGCATTGCTAACAGGATCCAGCTCTACCAGATGAAAGTTAAGTTCTTCACCCTCTCGGTTTTTTGGTTGTGGAATCCACTTCCTTGGTAAAATAACATCTAAAAAGGAATTATAAAATAGTATGTTTCATTGACATAAAAACTTTTGTTTATTGTCTAGGCAGTGACCCTGGCAATACAGTTGATCCTGTGTGAAGCAGTCATCCACGGGGAATGGCATGACTGCCTAATACAGGTTCCACAGAAATATAAAAAAAGATAAATGCTACTTCATGCTATATTTGACCAGTTAATGTACAGAATCTTGCTCAGAAATACCACTTACTTTGATTTTGGGAGAGAGACATGGATTAAAAATTTCTTGAAAGATTTTTCTTAGTTTTGTTTGAGTATTTCCGCCTTCATTGACCGTTCAATACAGCTAAAGACAGTAAAAACAAGCCTTAAAACTTAATAAAGGGTGACTGCCACCGCTTGATGGGGTGGCCGCTTAATAGAAGTAAAAATTACGGTGATTAAGGGGAAAAATTCGGGACTTTGACATCCAGCCACTTAATACAGGGTGACCACTCAATACAGTGCCGCTTAATACAAGTTCCATAGTATGCTAGTCCCTTTTCGTCTCGTCACGCAACGCGTTTGTGGATAAGAGAGGGTGTTGCGTGACGAGAATCGCGTTTATGCCTTCTTCCCAACAATTTATTTTATTGCTGCTCATCTCCAAGGATGAAATATTTACTGCAGGTCAAAGAAAAAAAAAGGTTTTTTCACTTATTTGAGAGATGAACATCATTCATGCATTTTAAACGATTCCTAAACGAGGTCACGCGTGTTAAACGCTAACAATTGTTCTTCCACTTGCTAGTTCCGGTTCAAACTCTGAAGAGTGTTTTCACATCAAATTAAAAATATCGTAAGCATGTACATGTGACAATTCTCTTAAATTTATTGGACCATCTAAATTTACTTTCTTACCGTGAAATTTGCATACAGCTTGTTTTGGTTTTGGGGCTACAACCAATTTGAAGGGACTTCCGTTGATTGGATCGTCTCTTACTTTGATTGATATCTTGAAGATTCCAGCAACTCTTGGTGTGTAAGATACACAATAACGGCCATCTTTTAAGTCTTTCACAAAAGCAGGAATATCTCTGATTCCCTGTCGTATGGATGTGATCTCAATCGTGACGTTATCAATTTCACTATAAGTTGTTTTGCCGCTTGAATCCATAGTTGTGACAGTAAAGTAGCTTGCCTCTCCTTGAATACTTTCTGCTAGTCCTTGTCCCGATCCAACAGAAAAATAAGGTTCTGTAAAGGTTACATGTAGCGCACCAAGACTGAAATCTTGGAGTAGGGTATTTACTGAATACTTAAACTCCGGATATCTGAGAAGAGGCGTAGAATCTTGAAATCTCTCCGCGACAGTTCCATCAAGCTCATGTTTTACCTCTAACATTTTCCTTACGTCATTTGTTTGGAGGACCTCTTTTCCATGTCTTGAGCTCTTAGACAATAGCTGTAATTTTTTGACGAGCTTCGACAACTCATTTTTCAAGGCCTCGTCGTAAAGCGATTTTTCTTTCACCAACTGCTCTGTCATCATTTCTTCGTGTTGACGAAGAACATTTATAGCATCCTCCGTCACAGTGCGAACTTCTGCCGCTACTTTATCGATGCTACCATTGTATTTCGCTTGTCTCTCTCTTAAAGACTCAATATGGTTCTTCAGAAGCGAAGAATCCTCCTCAATATCTCTTAGCCTACTTTCGATGTACACTCTCTGTTTTCTTGCTCCATCTTCAAGTGACATGATGGTGTGATTTATCGGATCTCGATGCTCCATAATGGCGCATTCAGAGCAAATGCAAATTTCGCACGGTTCACAGTAAAACTTAACGAGTATGTCATGTCGTTTACAAACGTCTTGTTCTTTTGATTCGAGATCAGGATCTTTATTCGAACGACCATGAGCTTTCAAGATATCCCCCAGTCTCTTATGTGCAAGGTTGGATGGCAAGCGGTCGATGTTATTGTTGGGACACTCGGTTATTACTCGACAGTTCGGGCAGCTCAAACCTCTCCCGATCTGCTGTCGCAACCACTTTTGGAGACAAGACTCACAGAAAGTATGTTGGCATGTAAGAAGTTTTGGTTGATTGGTCTCAGTAAACTGGTCTTGACAGAGGGAGCATTCCAATTCTTTCTTGATTGCATCTAAAAGGCTCTCACAGCCAGCCATAAATTCGTTCGAGTCATTTAGCCCCGGCTGTCGTGATTTAAGACTTTTTCTCAGAAAAAGCGGAAGTTGTTCGTGTCGCCACGTTTACTCGTACCAAGTACCTTTCGGTTTCGAGTTCTTTTATTTATAGCAACTTGTTCTCACATGAAGCGGCCCCTTCGACATTCTATCTTGTAATGTTAGGATGGAAGCTTAGGAATCAAAGAAACATCTGTAGTGCGGGTTGGCTTTCTACCTTCCTCTGCCGTCTGTTACTATTCGCCACAACGGAAGTGGCGTCAGTTCAGCTCAGTACAACCAGAGCGCGTGGGTTCGCGCTGTTTCCGAGAAATCTGACTCACTTCTAGAACTACCTCCAATTTCCAGTACATTCATAATTATTCTGCACAGAGATGGACACACGTCAAGGTAAGCACGATAGAACCATGAAATGATATTCAGCTGAATACAGCTGTCTTAAATCAGAAAGGGTCCTTGTTGAATATGTTTTCACCATACAGGAGATATTTCGAACTAAGAATGCAGGAATGCCCTGTAGCAGAACTTACTTACAGGAATCTGGCAGAGTGTAGACACTGTTTGCTACCGATGGTAAAGAATTTCTCAAAATCTACCCCTGTTTAGTGTTTTTATGCACCTTATCAGGGTTAGTTGTTGGTCTGACTTTAAATTTTTTGTTTTGGCATTAATGCTTTCGCTTTTCACTCGAACAGGAAGCAGAAACAATATCAATGAATTTATTAGCTAATTAAATCTAAGCACAAGCCAGAGCCTGAGAGGTAA